GATTCGGTTTAGAAGGAGGAAGTGTTTGGTTTGGAGGAAACTTACGGCAGCCTCGTTCTTTAGGTTCTTACGGAGGCTCTTCTCATGCTCTGCTCTGCTTCAATGGTGACACCGTGATGCGTGTTTGAAAAAGAAAAAGGGGAAAAATGGTTTTCCATTATTGTTTCGAGACTGAAAATTTGATTCATTCATTTCTTTGTTGTTTATTATCAATTCGTTTTGCTGAGAGTCCAGAGAAGAAAGTGTTGGGTGTGGTTTGTGGTTTACTTCTGGTGTAAGAATGGCTTCCTGCCAGCAAAGTGTAATTTGAAACCAAGCCGTGTGAAACTGAAAATGGATTTTAACAGGTTCAGATAATTATAAATTAGTCAAGATTATTTGTCTTCCTAAACTATTCTCTTCGGTCAATATGGGATGATTGAAATTCTCTCTTAGTAAAAACTCCGTATAATTCATGTGAATATTTTGAGAAAAAATTAATAAAACAAAATAATTGAGATATTATATTTAGGAATAGAGTATTTAATGAGATTGAAAACTATTTTGGTCATTCTGATCCAACGACGTCGTAGCACAAATGGTGCCCCGTTGGGGTTTTCTTTTGGTTGCTGGGCTTTCATATGTGGGTTTACGCAAATGAGTGTGGCCCATCATGGTTGTCAACGCTATTTTTGGGCCGTTAGGGATCTACTGTGGAGGGAAACCGGCAGCCTATGCCCACAGAAGTCAGACTTAGAGAAATTGATTTCAATTTCACTTTGACGAGAACAAAATCAAGTCAAATGCTTTTTGACCGGAAAAAACATTTCTTAAAATGACATTTTTTTTAAACAAAAAATGACCTTATTTTTAAACATTGTGGATTTAGGAGCAGCACCCGAATTAGTTAATTTTTTTGTGTGTTTTTTTAATTGCCAAGCTATTTTATTGGGAGTTGGGTCAACTTATTAGCGATGTTTTTTTCAGGACTTTATAATTTAGAATTTTTTTTAGGAATTTTGTTTTATACTTCTGACATTAAGGCTTATTAAATACATCAAGAAACATCAAAAGAATAAAAACAAAACTGCATGGAGTCTAATACAAATGTAAAACGACAAGTTAAAAAAATTATACTACAAAGTACAGAAAAAAAATACTATTCATAATTTGTAAATAATGTGATCTAAAAGAGTTATCAGGTCTTGCCTCCTGGGATTTTCAAGGCGGGAATTAGACATGATCAACAACAACGCATATTCCTTACAGGGTTGTTTCCTCCAGAACCATATCTAATGTTCCTTCGTTGTTTATATGATTCTAATGGAAAGGATTGGAGTTTGTCTGCAGAGTCTACAAGTCACGTTGTTTGGTTACCAACTGATAATAGTTACTTCATCCTGTTGGGATTTAATATGTCGTTGCATGTGCAATTATGTGACAAGTTAATTAAACACTGTCGTGGGAGAGCAGTAGTATTATTCATAGCACTAATGAAGTTATACCAATATATTGTACCCATAAAAGTAAGTGAATTGAAAGATCATGATGAAGCACTTTTAATTGCATGCAGCTATGCCTATGCAATTAAAGTGGCAGATAAAGTACAAAGAATGTCCACAGTCCAGTTTTCACTCTTCTCCGTATCTGGTATCAATTTGCGATAGGCTCTTTTAACTATATGCGTTGGATGATTTTGGTTTCTGCGTTGGCTATCTGTGTGATGGTGTTGAAGGGGATAAATGCTTGGTATTTGAGAGCAGCTGAACGGTAAAGGGTTGGTTTCAAATTAATGTTTTGCTGCAGCATTATTTGATATCTTAGTTGATTTTTCATTTGTTCAAACCAGACACAACAGGAAGATCGTACGTTGATTTGGTAACTTGCTGGTTCTGCTTGTATATTTTTCATTGGAGGACTCAGGAAGAAATAATAGATTCCCAGCAGTATCCTTGGGAGCTGGAATGAACAAGTGTACGTTGATTATTGCCCGACTCACATTTTCACATCCTTTTCCTTTGTGTTTGCGTTTGTTTCTTTCCCCAGATTCTAGTTTGTTTTGTTCTCCAACGACGTAATCACCCGGGACAATAGAATCCATCTCAATATGAAACGTTGTTCATATTGACTTCACAAACACTGGAAGTTTTCTTAATTTCTAGACTAACCTGGACATGGAAAAATATCAGATTTGTATTTTCATGTGTCGATATCAAAAGTTTGGGGTGAACAACGTTGTATACAGTTGGTCTATTATATAATGTATCGTTCTTATTAAGTTGATTGGGGAACAAACTTTACGGTTACGTTGGATTCGCACGTTAACCTAATGCTCTACTTGCCATTGCCATTGCCAGTTACAATTAGACTAATTAATGGTAATTAACAGAGATGGGATTCAATAGCTTTAAGAAGTAAATATGCGGTAGTTGGCAGAGAAGAGAATTGCCCTTTCATCACAGGGTAAAGTCCAGGGGTTCGCGTCCAAGGCAGGCTCTAGATCAGTATATCTCTATCGAAAGAGTGAACCACTAACTGTGTGGAAAATGGAGTAGATGGAAGACAGCTTTCAAGACCAAGCATGGGTTGTACGAGTGGATGGTTATGCCATTTGGTTTGTCAAATGCACCAAGTACTTTCATGCGTTTGATGAATCATGTGTTGCGTAAGTTCATTGGAAGCTTTGTTGGATTGTACACCTTTGTGTCTGGCTATGTATACGGATGTGCATAAAGAAGGGACGGGACATCTCTCTCCTTTTTTTTGGGGGGGGGGGGAGAGAGGGAATAAGCTGCAGCGGCACCTCACGAACTTCTTACTGGGTCCATCCTCCTATATAGGGAGTATTTAAGTTTTGGATAATACATATATCAAGTTACTTATATTTATTATGTCAAGTTCTTCAACCATATATAGTCATGTGTTTTATTTTTAAAATATTATCATTTAAAAATATTTAATTATCAATCCACATAAAACAAAAAAAAAGACACGTGTCTATATGTAATTGAAGAATTTGACATAATAAATATAAACAAGTTTTTTCCTTAAGTTTTCTATAATCAAGTGACGAGGTGGCCTTCCACTCCATCCTCCTTTTAATTTGCCCAGACTCTCGGTAGGTATACATGTATGTTTAGCTGTCAAAACCATTCAATGGAACTGAAACTTGCCAAAAGATGAAAAAGGCAACAGAATATAGAAAATGGCTGATACAAGTAACTTGTAGCTAAATTGATGAAAGGGTTGTTAGTTTAATAAGTGGTCTTAAATTCAGGGCCCGGATATATAATTGCGTTCAATGTAATTCTGGATACAGAAAGGGGAACAAAAGGTGTAGAAGAATACTCGTATGTGGGTTATGCCATACTTGATCATTATAGTAATAATGAGGAAGCTTATGTTAGACGTACAGGGTACCGCCTCACATTCCTGACTTGTCCCTCTCATTATTATTGGAGGGCTTTAGGCTTTCTCAGGCTAATCAAGAACCAACCAAGCACGACCAATTCCTTAAAATTTCTGCAAACAAGATTGAGTTCATTTTGTTTGCATGCTCATTATCTCCTTATGGTCGCCATCTTCTGCAACACTTTGTAGTGCATGCCAATTCATGCGAGACCACCTTAATCATACAAAGAGCAAGCATCTATGCGTGTGTGTGCTGATTCAATTCATGGAGGCACCCCCAAGAATAGGGTTCTTCCATATTACCACCATCTGGCATGCCTTTGAACCTTTCTCTTTCATAGTACTAGTTGCAAGGGTTGGTGTGTTATTTACATTGAAACCTAGGAATAAAACAACAAGGTTGGTGTCAACATCTGAAACTAGGATCGTCCTTGAGGGTTTCTAAATTCAAATGGAAGAAGACAACAGTGGGACGAGAGAATATACATGATATATCCATCAAGACATGGGGAAAGCTAAAGAGTATCAATAATGTTAACTACTAATTACGGACAATATACTTCAGGCATTGAATCTTGCTCATTCCTTCTTACAATCACACTTGCCTTCTGTCCAGTGTTCGTTGGCTCTTTTCACTTCCAACCCTACCTCGCTCTACACAACTAGCTACTTTGCTGATGATTTCTGCAAAATTCTTTTTCTCTTTTTCAGTTGAACGTTACTGCTCTCGATTGATAAGATATACATGGATTTTCAATGATTACAAATTGAGTACATACATAACGTTATTAAAATAAAAAGAGATTAAAAAAATAAAATGAATGCAAGAAAAATACTCCTCCAATCCTTAATGTAGAATCTGACTAACTAATTTGAGTAGATTAAAGATGTTAATTAAATTAATTAATACTACATCTGGTCTTAATTATAAGAGTTAGTTGACTAATTTGAGGAGATTAAGGAAATAAGTTAAATTAGTTATTTGTAATAAATAAGTGTTGTCTTTCTTAAAATATCTTTACTAATCAAGTGTATTGGCTAGAACGACCATTGTTAGAAGGACTATTTTGAAAAAATATATATAGATAGGAGAGACAATTGAGGTCTTATATTTAGCATCAAAATAAAAGTCAAGTAAGGTTTTATATTAAGGACCAGAGGTAGTATAATATAATATTTTTTTAAAACACCTTAATCATATTCCTTACTTTCCTCCCTCCTTCAATTTTCCTACTTAATTATTATTGGATGAATATCAATATAGTTAATTTAAAAAAACATTAATAAACATGTGAAATAGGTCTTCTATATAGTACTAACATCAACTCCCCAATTACTTTCTAATCATTGAGGACAGGGGAAGTATTAGAATCAAGGCTCCGGTGTGTATATTTATATTAAATACTTTTGAAAGAGTCTTATTGTCCTTCTTAATCGTGGCAATTTTAAGCTTATTTTTTAAATAAAAATGAATAACAATTGCGATATATATATATATATATATTTATAACAAGCCACGATTACATCATGACACTAAAGATTGGTCTTCCTTTTCCTCTGAGGGAGCTCACTTCCCCGTAAGCATCTCCACACTGCGACCCCCACAGGAAATGGCCGCAAGACAAGCTTCTTTTATTCACGTGGATGAACACTTCATTCACTTGGAACTAAGTTCTTCTGATTTAGTCTCTCATCCAATCAGCTGTCCCCCACCAAAAAGAGAGTTTGAGTTCCAGACAACTTCAGTTTCACATGAGAAAGAGTCTTCTTCTTCCCTTGCTGATGAGCTCTTCCATAAAGGAAAACTCCTTCCTCTTCACCTCCTTTACAATTCCAATCCCATCTCTGAGTCTGCTAGAACTCACTCAGCCTTGACAGATTATAACTTTCCCTTGCCTTCTTCGCGTCCTAGCATTTCACCTTCAGAATCATCCATGGCTACGAGTGGAGTAAACTCATACAAGTTTCCATCCGTATTGCATAGTGAAATCAATGGGTTTTCTGGGTATCCTCCAAAGAAATCTTGGTCCAAGAAGCTGAAACAGATTAAGCAGTCCCGGCTAGGTCAAAGGCTCAAGGCTTCACGAGCTTATTTGCGATCTCTGTTTAGAAAATATGATTGTTCGGACAAGTCATGTGTATCTGTATCAAACAATGCTGTAGCAGAAAAGAAATCGAAAACTCCATCTGAAATCGTCCATGGTACAAGGCACCAGTTGTTCATGAAGACCATAAGCAGAGAGCTGATCAAAGATGGCGTGGAGGCGCATAGGAGATCTTTTTCAGGGGCGATTCGACATTCTGTGGTGAAGGCTTCATCTTTTATGTCCACACCTTCATTTGGGTCCTTATCTTCGTCGTTTTCACTCAGCTCAAGCTCAAGGAGTAGTAGTTCAAACTCACAGCGAGAAAGATCGATTGAAGGAGCCATAGCCCATTGTAAACAATCTCAGCAACAATATTCTTCGTCGAAGATTCCAGATGATTTCAGGAGTTGTTCAGAATCTGCTTCAAAATTGGCAATTTAGTGCAAATTGATGTTTCAATTATGAACCTGTGTCCCTCCGTTCTTTATCTACCTCACCAAGTCGATACACTTCTCTGCTTGGTCGAATTAACACCCAGAGAAATTCATGTAGGTGTTTGAAATGGAGTTCAAACAAATAATTATGCTAAGTTTGAACACATTCTACAACATTTTCAACCGATTCGCAGTTACATATTATGTGATCATCCTTCTTGTGAATTAAATTACCACAAACTCTATTAGGTTGTTAAAGCTTTATGTTTGTATAGATAGTTTCCGTGAACAAATTTTAATACTTATGTGCTGACTCATCTCCCAAGTGAATTACCAAACAAACATGTGATGCTTTGCGCTTTTTGCCGCTTTCGTAGCGAAGCCCCTACCTCCGACTATACGACAACAACAAAAGATAAATAAGCTTCGGTTGCTTTATCCACCTTGTTTAGTCCCACTAGCTAAGATCTGAAGGCCGAAAAGGAAGAGGAAAACACTGTCGTCGGAATCACAAGTGGATGTATAAGCATGGAAGGAAGTTCGTTCATTTCTGGTTCTTATGAAGAGAATTTATGTGGCAATGTTGGTTTGAGTGACCAAGTAGAGCCACATGAGTAACATCAGTAAATGTTAAAGTTATCAACTTGATTTTTTTTTCATCTTTTTTTTTTTTTTGGGAAAGAAGACTTCGCTTGCTTTCTGTTAAAGTGTCCCCCTAAGAACATAGTTAAACACAAGAAGCACAAGAAGCAAGAAAAGTACATATTTCCCCTGTCCGCTCACATGTACAACTACTGAGCTACAAGCCAGGTTTGGCATCATGTCATTTGTTGAATCATTTTAACGGCAGATTTTCTCCGGTACTTTTCCTTAGCTTACATGTAGTTACTGATTTAACAGAGCTGAACACGACGAAACAACCATGCAATCAGCATTATCCATATGAATTATGAGATGGTGTTGATAAGACTTTAGAAAGCAGGAAGGCAAGCTGCACATACGAAAATTATAGCATGAGATTCAGATTGCATACACAGTCTTGTACTCACTCTCCGAATTTGACATCACAGACATAGACAAAGACTGTCTACTGCTCATCGTTGACCTCCTAAGACTCCGAAGTCTGGAGGCCTCAAGTCGGTGAGCAATCACCCAATAACCGAGAGTTCCCAGTGTAGCTGCCATGATCACTGTCCCTAAAACCGTTGCCGCAATGGCTAACCATTTTTGCTTCCCCACAACTATGTATGACATTGCAATGAATGCCACGGATATTAGCACACAAGCCAACCACATTAACTTGTTTATAACCGCTGTCATTTGTTTCTTTGCTTCCCTCTCAATAACCACAACTGACGTTTGCACAACCACAACAGCCAAGGATATGAAGAGGGCGGTAGAATCAAAGATGATGAATATCAAAAATCCAATTTTTGGAGCAATATATGCTTCCCCAAGAGACATTCTAGGTGGGAGTGCTTCGTGTTGGAGATCAGGATACTGGCCTGGAATGTTGAATATGGCAGCAAAAGCAACTGTTGCAATAAGAACAGCAACGATAGTGTTAGAATTGATTGCATTATTAAGCCCTTCAGCCTGCATTTTGTTGAGTCGTTTGGCTATGCCTTGCATGCGCTTTCGTGTTCTGATTGTGTGCTCTAGCTGGTTATGAACCCCGCTTTTTATGTCACTCACTGTGCGTTTCAGTTCAAGGGCAGGGTTTGTAGAATGTGACTTGATGGATCCGGCACTCTGAGCTCCATGATCTTGCAGAATGCTGACAACGTCCAAGTGTCTATTTTTCTCCGCAATGTCCAGAGCAGTTTCTCCAGATTTGTTAATGACATCTGTATCTGTTCCTCTGTTCTCTAGTAGCTTCCCAACAATCTATAGGATAATCGCAAGAACATTTAGATGAATCTTGATGATAAATTAGTCAACTGCTCGGCTAATCAGCTCCACAGACTTAAAATTGAGGACCGACAGGACTTAATTTGTTGAGGATGACGTGAAGCCAATTTATTATAAAGCATAAACACATTTATCAAGAAGTTGCCACGTGGTAATAATTGAGTTTTATGTCAGAGAGGTGACTCAGGCAACATACAATGTGCTGCCACAAATGCTGAATGTATTGATTGTATGTGAGTCAAGACACACTCATCTGCAGAAGGAATTTTTTTTTAAACAATTCTTCACAAAAGATAATTCTTCTGAAGTTCCAAATATACACAAACTTTCTTGTGCGACATATATATTTTATAAACTCGGAGAAAGCTGTTAGTTCATTTCCATCTGTCGAACGAAAAAGGAAAAGGAAAGCAGTCTTTCACCTGCAGACGACCCTTCCGAGTAGCGACATGCAGTGCAGTGTTTCCCTTGGTATCAACGGTGTTAGTCAAAGACGGAAATGATTTCACAAGCTCTTCCACCAACTCAAGACTTTGTCCTTTAACTGCCATATGTAGCGCTGTCTGACCCTTCTTATCAATTCTCATAGCAATTTCAGGTTCTCTGTTCAGAAGGGCCCTGACGACCTCGACATGACCATTTCTTGCAGCAGAATGTAACGCAGTTTTCCCATTGCTTTTTGAAATAGTGATCAGATTGCTACCTTTTTCCAAGAGAAAATTTACTATCTCGATATGTCCTTGTGCTGCAGCAGTGTGCAACGCTGTAGTGTTTGACAGATCAACAGTCATAGAAAGTTCTGGAATCGCCTCCTTCAGGACCATCAATATCTCTGCAAACCAGTAGTAGAAAGGGGAATCAGACAAATTCTGGTAGTTAAACTGGTCATAATGAAAATTATTAACCAGATAAAAGTCAATGGAAAAATTAGGAAGTCTGAATTTATGTCTATTTCTCTGTATCATCAATTCAACGAGCAAGTTTCTGGGAAAAACAAGCAAGAATCTGGATTCTCTAAAGTTGTGTGGAGATGGTGAAACTGAATGCAAAGTACTGATAGTTTATGTAAATGTAGTCTTGTATATATAAAGAAAAATGAAACATAAAGTAACAATATTTTGCATACAGCTTCACCGACACAGTCAGCTTAGAGGATCCAAATCCAACGAGCAAAGAGTTGGTACACGCGGTTTTTCTGTGACCGGACTACTGAACATTAATGATATAGTTGAACAATGCTGTGCGGAACAGGAAGAGATTTGAAGATAGGATCCAACAAGTTTTAGAGAATCAAGAGACTTACCAAGGAACCCATTTTTAGCAGCAATATGGAATGCATCGAAACCATTCCTAGCTTTGACGCTGGCCATACTGATATCATGGTACCGGATCGATTCCTTCACCAAGTCAACACGGCCATTTTCAGCAGCAACGTATAGGGCAGTTTCACCAGCGTGGTTTTGCTTAGAAAGCAACTCCTTCAACTCCGTATCTCCGTTCTCAGAAATAATTTGCAGCGCCAACTCTACATTTCCTGCCCGGATGGCTGACTGCAGGGGATTATCGTCGCGTATGCCTGTCAATTGTTTCTTCATTTTCCTCAGGAAAATATGCTTTAGTGCCTTGGTGGAGCTCCAAGTTCACAAGTTTACATTCCTTTAGGAGACCCGCCGTAGAAAGAGTTAAAAATTCGTTTAGGAGCTCCAATCTGTTTCTGGATCAAGATGGACAAGGCGAATCAAATATAAGTACTTGAGAGTCAGAGGTCAGCTGATTCCTCCACGCTCCGAGCATCCAACCAGACTCCGCTAGTTTCCACTGAAAACAAAGATTTGACGTAGAAACAAACCACCCCAAGGGTTAGCACTCGGAAGACCAAAAGGTTCCCAATTTATATACGGCAACAATAAAGGATGGTTTAAGAAATGTACAAAAGTACTGGGGTTGTTTCAGTTTTTGTAGTCCAGTTATAATCTTATACCCATGAGAAAGCAGTATCAGATATTAAGAGGTCGCGTACAGTAAGTGAAAATGAAAAGAAGAATCGAACAAAATTTTTCAAAGAGTTCATAAATAACACACCTGAAGTTCCTGATTCTGAGATACAGCGGTCGCCTTATCTCCTGCTCTTGCAACGATCTGAAATATAAGAAGTAACATGCAGAAGATCCACAGAAATTCCAGGAGGAACAGCGGAATGAAATCTTCCCCGAATGGAAGTGCAAAAAGGCAGAACAGCAATTGAATCACACTGGGTTAAACCGCGCTCAGCCGAACAGGAGGGGTGGGGGGAATTGATATCGCTTTAAAGATTCCCGAGTGCGGCAAAACCTTGAGCTGGAAGAAGGAGAAGAGCACCCAATTCCTATCTCAAGTATCCAACGCCAAGAATAAATCGCACGAGTTTGGTTTGGATACTATCGAAGTTGATACTGACGCCTGGAGTTACTGGCGGGACTCTCAATCTCCACTGACTACTAACTGGGCCTTTGTTTCCACGTTATTATTATTATTATTATGAAAATATATCGTTTAATTATTTTTCAATGTCGGCAAACAAAAATTTACTTTTCAGTAAAATTAACGTTATTGTGCATAAATGAAGAAATAGTAAAAAAAAAAATTAAATCTCAGCGTAAGGATTTATGGTTAGTTTATTAAATAAAAGCCAAACAGGAATGTGCGCCTTTTGTGCCGGGCTGGAATGCATTGCTCTGTGTGAATGGAATCGGGATAATAAATTATAAAATTAATAATTGTGGTGCAGCGGGCCGCGTGTTGCTTTTTTCTATCGAAATCTGTTTACTTTTCAAAGCATCTCAATCATGTTCATTTTTTCAGGTGAGTAAATTACAAAACGACATTCTCATCAATGGAATCATTTTTTAAGAAAATAGGTTAAAAATCATAATTTCATTTTTCCCCCATCATACTTAAATCATGACATTAGTTTTAATTTAGACTCGAATAAAATTAAACGAGGTAAACTTAAGAAATGATAATCAAATATAAAAGTTAATAAATAATATTAAAATTAAATGAAACTACATGCAAAATTATAACCTCGAATAGAATCGAGGAACGAAAAAACTTATCTTTCCCTAACAATTTGTTGCCAAGTTCTCATAGTTCTCAAAACTAGTATAAGAATCTTATATTTAAGACGGAAGAATATTATTTTTTATAAAATTTAGATTGTTAGAAGCCAACAAACCCCTATGGTTTAAGTGAACTAACAACGGGTGGTGTTTAAGAGTTTTATCGTAAAAAATGGAATATAAAATTTAAGTCTTCAATTTTAAAAGATTTTTTGTCTGAACGAAGCATTGCAGGGGGTCGTTTTCTAGGTCCAGATTTATTTATTGGCTAAATCTTATTTTAAAAAAGGAGCCGAGTTGACTGAGTCAAATGTTGGGGGTGGTAGCCGCCGCACGCAATAAACTAATAATTGAGGGTCCGCAGTTGGGGTTGAAAATTGGGCTCAGTTCGTTAAAGTGTTACTTTTATCTTTCTGACCAAAAAAAAAAAAGTGTTACTTTTATCTATTTTTGTTTTCTTGGGAATATTATATTATTATTCATTACTAGTACCTGCTATAAAAAATAGGGGAAATCACAAATAAAGACCCTTGAATTAGCAAAATCACTCTATGGTCACCTGAATATGCTAAATTACTATGAGGGACCTGGTCTCAAATTGTAATTATGAAATCATGGTCAAATTACCAAAATACCCCTCTTTAATTTTTTTTTTTTTTTTAAAGAAAGCCACTCCTCACCGGAATCCGGCCACCGGCGCCGGAGCTCCGGCGGCCGCTTCCGGCCACTGTCGGCGGCAGGACGCCGGAGTCCGGCCGCCGGAGCTCCGGCGCCGGCGGCCGCTTCCGGCGGTCTTCCTTTGTTTTTTTTTTTAAACTGTTTTTTTTTTTTAAATTGGGGGAAGTGAGGTTGGGGGGATTTGATCCCCCAACCTAATGCTTCCCAAAATAAGGAATGACCATTGAGCCAACAAATTTTTGTTAACATTATGATGCAAAAAAAAATATAAGTTAACTCATTTACTCTTGTTCCAGGTGATAACAACAATACATTTGGAAATAACAAGTTCTGATTGTAAAATAACACGTTTGGAATAAAAATTTAACAATATGTTTTTTTTTATAACAATAAATTTTGTTGCAGGCAATAACAACAATACATTTAAAAATAACAAGTTCTGATTATAAAATAATAAGTTTGGGATTAAAATTTAACAACACGTTTTTTTTATAACAACACACTTTATTTCAAGTGATAACAACAATACATTTAAAAATAACAAGTTCTGATTATAAAATAATAAGTCTGGGATTAAAATTTAACAACATGTTTTTTTATAACAACACACTTTGTTTCAAGTGATAACAACAATACATTTGGAAATAACAAGTTCTAATTATAAAATAACAAGTCTGGAATTAAAATTCAACAGCACCTTTTTTTTATAACAATTAATTATTTTATACTTTTGGAAAATAAATTATTTATAACTTATAAAAAGTACTTGTAATCTATTTAATTTGCTAAAAAAATAATTTTTATCTCCAATTTATAATCAGAACTTGAAGTATAATTTTTTATAGATTAAAAATACTTTTTTATTGTTCAAATTTTTAAATAAAATTTAGGGAAAATGGCAACACACTTTTTTAATTTTTTAAAAAAATTTTTTAATCTATATATCTATACAACTTATTATAAATCAAACTACTTCTTATAAATTATAAATAGTACAATTTATTGTGGATTAAAAATACTTTTTGACTGCTTAAATTTATAAATGAAATTTATCTCTAATTTATAATTAAAAATACTATTTTATTCTTTAAATATAAAAACTATTTTTAATATTTAAAGAATGAAATGATATAAAATTTATACTATGATTAATAAATCAAAAATGCCTTATTATAAATACTTTATAATTTATAAGAAGTAGTTTGATTTATAATGAGTTGTATAGATATACAGATTAAAAAGTATTTTTTTAGAGAAATAAATATATTAAAAATATTTTTTATAAGTTATAAATAATTTTTTTTAAAAGTATAAAATAATTAATTGTTATAAAAAAACGTGTTGTTAAATTTTAATCCTAGACTTATTATCTTATAATCAGAACTTGTTATTTTTAAATGTATTGTTGTTATCACTTGAAACAAAGTGTATTGTTATAAAAAAAACGTGTTATTAAATTTTAATCCCAAACTTGTTATTGTATAATCAGAACTTGTTATTTTTAAATGTATTGTTGTTATTACCTGCAACAAAATTTATTGTTATAAAAAAACATATTGTTAAATTTTATTCCAGACATGTTATTTTACAATCAGAACTTGTTATTTCCAAATGTATTGTTGTTATCACTTGAAACAAAGTGTATTGTTATAAAAAAAACGTGTTATTAAATTTTAATCCCAAACTTGTTATTGTATAATCAGAACTTGTTATTTTTAAATGTATTGTTGTTATTGCCTGCAACAAAATTTATTGTTATAAAAAAAAACATATTGTTAAATTTTTATTCCAGACGTGTTATTTTACAATCAGAACTTGTTATTTCCAAATGTATTGTTGTTATCACCTGGAACAAGAGTAAATGAGTTAACTTATATTTTTTTTTTGCATCATAATGTTAACAAAAATTTGTTGGCTCAATGGTCATTCCTTATTTTGGGAAGCATTAGGTTGGGGGATCAAATCCCCCAACCTCACTTCCCCCCAATTTAAAAAAAAAAACAGTTTCAAAAAAAAAAACAAAGGAAGACCGCCGGAAGCGGCCGCCGGCGCCGGAGCTCCGGCGGCCGGACCCCAGCGTCCGGCCGCCAACAGTGGCCGGAAGTGGCCGCCGGAGCTCCGGCGCCGGTGGCCGGATTCCGGTGAGGAGTGGCTTTCTTTTTTAAAAAAAAAATTAAAGAGGGGTATTTTGGTAATTTGACCATGATTTCATAATTACAATTTGAGACCAGGTCCCTCATAGTAATTTAGCATATTCAGGTGACCATAGAGTGATTTTGCTAATTCAAGGGTCTTTATTTGTGATTTCCCCTAAAAAATATTTTTATCCTATATATAGAAAGGAAAAAAAGCGTCTTACATAGTACCAATGAATAATTTTAACAACATAAAATTAAAATGTGGCGATACGTTTTTGAAAAAAATTTAAGACCATCAAATTTTAACCATTTTTCAGTTTATATACTTATAGGTAAAGGCACCACGTAAATAAGAAGGAGACACAAAGTTGAGTCTTAATTAAAAGATAATAAAGATAATTGTTTATCCTTTTTAAAAAATGAATTTGTAAACTTTTTTTCGAAACCATTAAATCATAACACGTAAATAAGAAGGAGACACAAAGTTGAGTCTTAATTAAAAGATAATAATATATTTGTTTATCTTTTTTAAAAAATGAATTGTAAACTTTTTTCCGAAACCATTAAATCATAATTTAATAATTAATATTTGGGAATCCAAATGTGAAGACACATGATTCCGGTCTGAAATTGTAATTTAGCATTCAGCTGCGTCCACCCGGGTAAACGTCAATGAGCCTTAACATGTGTCCCTCACTGTGAATCTGTTCCCACCTGACGCGCGTGCCAACCCTCCGCGTTATTTCACTTTCAACACTCGCCTCTCTCATACGTTGAACGTCGACCTCCAACTCCAATTACTTCTACAAATCAGAAGCAACGTGCCTTAACAACTCCTCTCTTCATTCATCCCACCCCATCTTAATTTACTCATTATCAGATCAAAGCCAACACCATCAACTCGATTCCATTGCTCTCTTTACATTTTGTTTTATGCTTCCATCAACGCCACCTCTGTCAAGATACAAGGCTTTCCTAAAATGAGCCCAAAAGGAAAATGGGCTCAAGATGAAGTGAATGGGTTGAAAAGTATCTTCATAAGGGATATATACAGAGTATCCACACATCCCGACAGTTGCTGAATATGGCATCCCAGGCCATAACCTCCCAGAACTCATGGAAGCTATCAGACGCAGGGAGATCCTACCATTCCCACTAAAATTCAGTATCCAACAGAACCTGTTTATATTTGGCCAAAAAAAAAAAAAAAGAACTTGTTTATTGCCTGTCTGTCTCTCGCATCATGCTCAATGAACACCTGACAGCCCTGAAGGTGCTGAACAAAGACCCATGACACAATGTTTCATCTTCAAAATAGCACCCCCTACCCCGGGAACTTCAATTTAATCAACATGCTCCTTGCTGCACACCACAAACCTCGTATACCACAAAGCCTATGAAGATGAAAAACCTTTCCTCCTTGTGGAGAAGAGTAGGGGAGGTGGGGAAACAAACAGATACCTATTGACATCTACATCACACTCAGAAAGATCAGTAAGATCTGCTTAACAAATTGTTAGCTAAAACAATATCTCGTTTTTAAAACGTAAAATCATGAGAAAAGGAGTGTGTTGTAAGAGGATTGCGGATCATTATCTATAATAAAATCTAAATAGACAAACGGTGTAGAAGTATATGCATACAATAAACCTGTTGATTTGATTCCATCCATTTTAAGACTCTTGGTAACTAACCAATCTGGCTCCCTTAAGTTATTCCCCTTGAACACAAAAAAGAAGCTATTCATTTCCCTAAATCCCACCATTTTGCTTTATCAAGAGCAAATCATCTAAAGCATCCTTTCCCTATAGGTTTACACAGAGACTTCATGGTCCAGTATGAGGTCCAAAATGGCATCAAATGGCATAAATCGGATTTATTTCTGAATCTGAATCTGAATGATGCACTGAATGTTTCTTGGCCAATTTGGCTTTCTTTCTCACCCTCCGAATACGCTTGTATTTAACCACATAGTATGTCATAGCAGCAAGAATACCAGCCATCACAACTCCCCCTATCACAGTAACAAGGACTGCAGCCCACATGTTACGTCGACCAACTACTATATAAGATGATGAAATGAATGCAATCGTGGTACAAATAGAAGCTAACCACATCAGCTTATTAATCACCCTCACAACCCTCCTTTCAGACTTCGTCTCCCCTCTAACAACTGTGATCTGAACCACGACAACAGCCAATGATGTAAAGAGTGCAATTGCATTAGAAATAAAGAAGATCTTGAAAGATGGAGTGGACGCCACAGCGGCCACTCCACTATCAAAATCCCCACCAGGAACTGTAAAAATTGCAGAAAATGCAACTGTTGCAAAGAGCGAAGCAACTACGGTCACTGAGTTGGTAGCATTGTTGATCCCCGCTCTGTGCAGCTTGCGTAGCTCCTTGGCAATCCCATCCACGTTTTTGTTTGTTTTTCGAGTTTGTTCAAGCTGAATATGGACCTCCTTCCTGATCTGTGTCACAGTCCTCCTTAGCTCATCCCTTGGTTGGTTAAGATCACTGGCTTTAACTCCACCGCTACGAACCAGGCAATCTCTAATCTCTAGGATTTCTTCAGATGGAGGGAGTCCTTCGGCAATGTCAAGAGACGTTTTACGGTCTCTTGTTAGGGCATTAACATTGGTTTCAGGATGAAGTAATAGCTCATTCACTATCTGCATGATTTCATGTCGGTCATAAGCAGACCACACTGAAGACAGGCATGACATGTATAAAAAGTTAATGCCCACACAGAGAAACAATGAGTGCCAACATGATTCAACCAGTTCCACTACATAAGAATTTTGCTTTTTTATAACTAAGTCCTGCTAATTCATCAGCGTTTCCTGGGAATTTCTTAGTTAGGAAAAATCATATCTCGTCATACACATGAAAGCAATGAATAGAATGATTATATTTATGAACTGCTTCACGATTTTCTGATAAAATTGAAGTGCAACCAAAGCAATACCTCTGCCCTCTTCTTCCTTGTGGCAATATGTAATGCAGTGTTGTTAAACTTGTCAGGTAGGGCAACCGTTGCTGGATCTGCATTAAGAAGCAACCTTACTACTTCACAGTTAACCCCCTTTACAGCCATATGCAACGGAGTCTGCCCTTTCTTATCAGTCCTTTGAGTAAGTTGTGGGTCCTTTTCGAGTAATGATTTTACGATACAAGCATGTCCCTGACGGGCAGCAAAATGGAGTGCATTCTTTCCATTGGACCTAGATAATTCCACCTGTCTAGGATCTCGTGATAATAACATATCAACAACATCTGCATGCCCTTTTGTAGCTGCTGATATGAGGGGAGTTGCATTTGATTGTCCAAATGTATTTACTAGCTCTGGATCATGGTCCAGTAACACCCGAACAATGGCTGCCGAAAATTCATATATAAATCGGTTAATTGTTGTATATGGCGAAGCATCAATGTCCTTGATCAGTACCTTCAATTTTAACTACAGAGCCATTCTTTCAGGACCCCCAAGAAAGTATAAAGCAAGCCAAGGGGGTGAAGTCGCCACCAAACTTTCCAAACCTCATGATAATTTTCCTTGACTTTATCATATTTCTACAAGGTTTATATGTCTTTGGCATTATTTGCAATGCCCATTAGTTTGAAATTAATTAACTAGGGTCTCCAGTGAGGAATGGACCCACCACTACTCGTAACAAATGCCACAAAGCGAAGCATCCTTTTGCCAGCTATAAACATAAAAAAGAGAGAAAGCAAGATGATTAATACCTAGGTGACCATGGCTAGCAGCAATATGTAAGGCATCGAAGCCTGATTGATTTTTCAAGGAAAGAGCCTCGCTGGTGGCATAAGGCAGAAGCTCCTTCACCACGTCAATGTGACCCCGCTCGGCAGCCACAAACAAAGCCGTCTCCCCCAATTCGTTGACCTCATTGACAATGGCGGACCTAATCTCCTCGAGCTCGGCATCAAAATCGGCCCCACTGGGGGTTCCGATCATCTGGGCATCGATTTCTCCCAAAATGCGGCGAATGGCGGCGACGTTGCCACGCTGGGCGGCGAGGTGAAGCTCGGTGTCATTGTGGCGGCCGGTGACCTGCTTGACATACTTCTTCTTGTCGAAGCGCTTGCCGGAATTGGAGAGAATGGATTTATTGGAATTGGAAGCCTGGAGGGATTTACTGGAGTTGGAAACGACGAGGGCCTTGCCGGAAGAGGAGAGGAAGAGGGTGGGACGAGGGGTGGTGGGTGTGGGGGGTTCAGAGGGAGTGTTGAGGACGATTGCTCTTTTGAGATCCATGAGCCCCCACTGGAGATGATTCGGCCCCTTGGGGCGATGACTCCTTCAACAAGAAACAAACGGGCGATTTGGACCCTTTGGCTGCAACGGGTTCCCACCAAAACATGTCGCCCGATCCTCATCAGCGCCTCGTTTCACATGAAGCGAAGAATTATATCACGTTAGTTTCGCTCTCGCGCCAAGCGGGAAAAAGGTGATATACCCTGGTTATTGTCATTGAAAAATATTCTGTAAATTGGGCCGGCGAGCGAAAATGGTTCGTGGTCCGCAACGCTGAGCCTCTGAATGCAACGGCCTTTTTCTTGTAACGGCATTTTACAGAATTTGGCGGGAGCATGTGCCACGAAACTGAACAGAACCTCAAATTATTAGACTAGTGACATAAGAGCTGACTAATTAATGTTCATATATTAAAAAAAAATTAGTTAAATTAGTTAGTTATAACAAATTGTTTGTAGACAGCGCATCTTCTTAAAACGTAAGATGAATGTTTAGTATCCCCTTCGAAAGTGTAATGAACGAGGTGTGCTCTATAATAATGGCCGAAAAAAACAATGAGAGGTTCTGTAGAAAGTGAAGCAGGGATGGCTTTTGTTGGGGGAAAAAACAGTAAATGAGGGTCAGATGCCCACACATAATAGAGAATAAAGAGGATGAAACAGTGAGGCTGGGGCCATGCACTGATGAAGGTTTTGTTTGGTGTTTTGTGCGTGTGTTTGGTCGGGGATGTTAATATTAGGGCCCATCGCCACATCGTAACGTAAGCGTCTGATTGATTACCGGCACCTTCTCTATCCGAAGTCCCTTATTCAGCCGCGGGTATTTGTTAATGCTTGACTCCAATACGGGGCCCATATATCATACCTGTCTCAGGGCCACACCTCATTCTTCCAACAGCATGGTGTCCATAAGTATGAGAGACATTTTAGAAAAACTATGGCGTAGTATTTACGCACGTGAATATAGTTTACGCAAGTTAGATAACAAGTTCTTATAATCGAAGACCAAAGGAAGTATATCACAAAAAAAAAATTATGCAGACAGAACTTCACTTATATTACCTTCAGTTTTAATATAAAATCTAGTTGACTAATTTGATTATATTAAGAAAATTACTTAAGTTAGTTATTTATAATAAATAGATGTTGTCTTTCCAAAAATATCATTGCTAATCAAGTGTATTGATTAAAACTACCATTATTACAATGACTACCTTGGGAAAAAATAAATAAATATGATAGACAAAGTGAATTAGGATCTTATATTTAGAATCAAAATAAAAATCAAATGAACTCTTATATTAAAGACCGGAGATAGTATTTGAATCTAATCTAATGTGAACTGGTTAATATGGCATCGCATATTAAATAGGCTGCCACTAGAAAAATTATGTTTTGGGAGAGATCTGCGTTTTAATTATATTTTTCCATTCTAAATTTAATTTGACCTGTGAAATAGATGGCATTGATTTCTTATAGGAAAAGGGAATTATATTCTAAGAAAATATTAGTAAATGGTATTATGGTCCTATTTATATGATCTCGTTTGTGGTCTATAAAAAAGGTATTATAATTAGGACTGGATAGTATATTTATGTACACACTTTTTTTTTTTTTAATCGAAAGCTGAATCCGCAGCAAATGTATACATTACCCAACCATATGCTGAGAAATTTTCTTTTGAAAAAGCAAAGAAAAGACCATAATCATGAACATCAAGGGGGAAAAAATTGATTGTCATGGTAATTTTCCTATTTTGTGTGTGTCTCTTTACATCACACATAAAAAAAAAAAAATCCAATCTGCTTACGTGGTCTTGATTGACTCTGATCCCTCACTTCGTCCAATCTAATGCTGCCGTCGAGGAGATGATGCCAACGAAGCAGACAATGACGGGGAAGACGACGTCGTCACGCTGCCAGAATTTATACCGGCAAAGAACAAGTTCGCCAGATAACCTTTGACGTCGTCGGGTTGAAATGTCACATACTTTGTCATCTCTCTCACTGATCCCACAGTCGTCCTGTGCGTCATATAAAACTCCTCGTACATCGGCACCATTTTTCGCGCTATCGATTCCCTGATTTCCTCTCTTAATCTCCTGGCCGGTACCGTGTATGAATTCTGCTTCCGGTATGCCTCCTCAAAACGGAAGTTGAAGTTCCTGAATATGACCCTCGCCTCTTCCGCCGTCATCGCAGCCTTTGGATTTCTCGGCAAGCACGAAATTACTTCGGCCCACGCCAACTTCTCGTACTTATTTACGAATCCCTTCACCTTCGCTTCGTGCTTCCCGATCCACTCGTCGCCCAGCACGTATTGCAAGTTCGAGTTTCTTGCTGTGTCTATCACGTGCTGGAGATTGTTTGCCAGAAACAGGTACGATTGTGAAGCGCACTTGCAATGCTTTGTCTTGCTGTCGAGCTTACAGAGAAGAACGAAAATCAGCCAAGGTATTCTAGCGGAGAACGATGGCATCGTTGATGACGCTTCGTTAGAATCTGGACTTTCTAGTAAATACTCTGGCACTGGCGACTTTGGCGGTGGACTCCAGTCGGCGAATATCTCGGAGAGGACGTTACTGTAATCCGAGAGGATTGAGAGGCAGTCCATAGCTTGTGTGGTCAGCGGGTGAACTCCTCCCGATTTTGCCAACGACTTAGATGGGTCCTTTTGGATCGTGGACTCGAAATGTGAAAGCATCGTTCGGACGGATTCGCTGAGTCGGAGCAGAGAATTTTGGACTTGATTTAAAATTTCGGAGGTCGAGTAGAAAGAGAAGATGGATTGGATCTCCGGCAATAGTGAAGTCAACGCAATGTGCATGTCAAGCACCCGAAACATCTTCTCCGGCGGCGAGTTCTTAACTTTGGAGACGACGTGCTGGGGGAATGCGAATAGAATAGAGGCTCCGTCTTTGGAAATATCGGCGAAGCAACTCTCTCTGATGGAATCCGAAGTGGCGAAGACATCATCGCACAGCTTCCTCTCTCCGTTGAAGAGCGTCCTCACTGCAACCTTCACTGCCTCTAACCATATCTTGATTTTCAAATCAAGAATCTGCCAGTCCATCTTATTAACTTGGGAAGGCTTCAATTTATCCAAGTTCAACCGATAAATGCCTTCATCGATGATGGATTTTCGAATGACCCTATAGACCTTCAAACATTCTTTCGCATATCCGCAAGAGATCATACACGTGGCTATAGACCTAAGATCCCTGGTGGCGAGCGTAGAAACTTGTTCCAGTTCAGAGATGGAATCGACGGCAATTCGTAGGTCGTCCTCAGGAGCAGTAGCATCTTCGACGTCGAAATCGGAAACGGTGGAACTGACGGAGGCGGATGATGTCCTAACGGTGGAGAGTGATTCGGGGTCTAAGAAGGCCCGGTTGATGGATAGGATTTGGTAGAACTCCTTTTGAAGCCTCTTCATGGCCAGCTGCATCAAGTTGTTGGCGAGAATGAGCTTTTGGGAGGAGAGTGGATTCTGGTGGGAGTGGAGAAGATGCATGGCCTTGTGGAGCTGGTTGACGCACTTGATGTAATGCATGGCCTCAGATTTATCGTCGTAGAAGAGGGATGTGATTTTGGCATAGGCAGAAGTTTGTGGGTTCCACTTGTGGATCAAGGCCTGGGCATCCTCGATGCACCGGTCTATGCTGGAGTCAGAAAAGCTCATTGCCGTCGAGGAGCTCGCGTCGGAGGATAGCGAGTGATTAGAGCTGGTCGTGGCGGAGAAGGAAGGCGTCGTGGGGTGAAAGCAGATGCTTTTCATTTCGTTTTCGAGATAATAAGTGTGATTGTTCGGAAGGTGGGGGAGGGGGCGCAGGTCGGTGTCAGGGAGTTCGGGCTTTAATGAAATGGTGACCGGAAGTTAATGTTGTGGTGGTGGGAGGGGTATATATAAGATAGAGAGGGGAATGGAGAGAGTGAAACGACGCCGTGGCTTCTTTGGGAGGAACTTTATGCAAGCGTGTGAATGAATATGCAGGGATGGAATAGTATTGTATTGTCCAATACTGAAATCTCTAGAATGCTTCCTACAGAGCCACACAAGTTGACTCTTACCGAGTCCCACATGGACCGGCGGTTGCGTCTTGTGGATCGTTAATTACGTCCCAGTCAGGTTATAACTTGAGGACCTTGACCTTGAATTCCGCATCCCGTTTCCCACAATAGAGCCTCCTGTAACTTCTTTCCCTTTTCGGCTTCAAGCCTTCTATAATTAACAGCTGCAACGACCAATTGGTTTCTCAAACTCACCGGAGGTAGTATTAAGCCAGTTTTTATATATACTCGACTGTGTGCACATGTTGTATTTATGTTTTTCCCCCCAAAATGTGTGAATATTTTAGATGTCAAAATTTCTTAGTAAGTACTAAATCCGGTTTTTAACATGAGAGTTAGTTAACTAATTTTAGTATATTAAGAAAATTAGTTATATTAGTTATTTGTAATAAATAGATGTTGTTTTTCCTAAAATATTCATACTAATCAAATGTATTGGCTAAAACTATCATTATTACAAGAATTACCTTAAAAAAATAGATAAATGATAAAGTGAATTGATGTCTTATATTTAAGATCAAAATAAAACTAAACGGATTTTTATATTAAGAGTCAGGGCACTATTATGGATGACACAAATGAATGCTAAGAGCAGACAATAGCCAGTTATCAAAGTAAAAACTGGGTATTAGCTAATTAAATTTGATGGGTATACATGTAAGCCGAAAACAAAATTATTATTATATTTCTTTTAGCCCATATTCTCAAAGGAAGTATGAATATTTCTAGCTTACTTTTTATTTTTAACTAATTTTAACTAATTTAGTTATTTAAAGTTTATATGTAGGATGGGAGGGAGTACCGTTATAAGAGGTGTGAAGGGACGTTAAATCAAGCAGGATCGCAGAGTGGGCCCTGTGATTAAGGCGGAAGAGGTATATAGTGACGCGTAAACACGAACATACAAGGCCGAAAAGGTTAATTAACTAAGCTCAGGCGTGACGACATGTAAGTTAAGCAAGGGCAGACACGAAGGCTCACGAGTGACGAAATTGTGGAGCCAAAGTATTGTCACGTGTCAAAATGCATGAAAAAGACAGAGATACGAGGAGGGGGGATTTGAAATGTCACCTGCGTGATAACTTGACGATGAAGGTGATAGTGGGTGTAGCTTGTGAGAGAAGAATAAGTAATAGGAAGATAATTTTGGATGGGGAGGGTGTGAAATAAAGAAAGATCCACACGCAAACAGCCCGGGGAATCGAGTCGAGTGTGAAAGGGATCAAGGGAAGAAGGTTGGGAACAAAAGGAAGGTGAAGGGGGCCGGGGGAGGGAGGGAAGCCCCAAGCGCAGCGAGAAAGGCGTTGGTTGCGTCTGGGAATAGGACCCACTCTGGAGCGATGAGAGCCGCACCATAGGGTCAATAAGGCGCCCCCAAGTCAACCAAGCGGTTTTATTTCCTTTCATGCACGCTTTCCAGCCCCGGCTCCATTTAACCTGTTCCTTTCATGCCTATTGCGTGGAGCTCTGACTCTAATATAAGAATTTGTTTGATTTTTATTTTAGTTCTTAATATACTACTCCTCCGGTTTTTATTATAAGACCCAATTTGACTTTTTATTTGGTCCTAATTATAAGACCCAATCCATTTTGTCTCTTATATTTATATATTTTTTTTCCAAGATAATCCTTCTAATAATGATAGTTTTAGCCAATATACTTAATTAGCAAGGATATTTTAGGAATGACAACACTTATTTATTATAAATAACCAACTTAACTTACTTCCTTAATCTCCTCAAATAAGTCAATTGGGTCTTATAATTAGGACCGGAGGAGTATTAAAATTCAGTCTATCTTGTTTCTCATATTTATTTATTTTTTAAGATAGTTCGTATAGTAATGATAGTTATAACTAATACACTTGATTAACAGGGATATTTGAGAGAGACAACACTTATTTATTATAAATAACTAATTTAACTGGTTTTTTAAATTAGTTAATTGATTATTATATTAAATAGCGTAGTACTAATTTTCTCTTTTGTTGGTATGAAAAAACAGACGCGGTTGCCTTTTTTGCGTAATCGGACTGATTACAACCTACGAGGCACCCTACTTTCTGAGTGAATTAAAATTGAGGTTTATTCATTTTTAAGTAAGCAGGTATATGGATCCGACACGTTGTATATGGATCCGAAAGGAACGTGTCGGTAACAAGTGAATGTAAAGTGCTGATCAATTTCGGTATAAAAACGAAATGACTCGCCGGAAAAAGACCGGGAGGGTAGCAATCAAGTAGCAAGATCACGAAAAATGAAGCGGAGATCACATAAGATCATCATAAGTCTCAAAGTATCACTTCTGATTTTTAATATAAGAGTTAGTTAACTAATTTGAGTATATTACAAAAATTAGTTATATTAGTTATTTGTAATAAATAGATATTATTTTTCCTAAAATATTCCTATTAATCAAATGTATTAATTAGAATTATCATTAATACTACCTCCGGTCCTTGATATAAGACCTTGTTTGACTTTTATTTTGATCATAAATATAACATCTCAATCCATTTTGTCTCTTGTATTTATACATTTTTTTTCCAAAGTAATCCTTTGAACAATGATAATTCTAACCAATACACTTGATTAGTAAAGATATTTTAGAAAAGACAACACCTATTTGTTACAAATAACTAATTTAACTTTTTTGTAATATCCTCAAATTCGTTAACTAACTCTTATAATTAAGACCGGAGATAGTACAACAACTTTTTAAAGAAAATAGATAGATATTAGAGATAGAGCCGATTGTGACCTTACACTCATGACTAAAATAAAAATATTGAATAATAGAGGCAGTAGACTACTCCAACATTAATGAGGACGCGTATTTAATATTCATGTCACGTGTGATTACCTAAGCAAGTTTGTTGTGTTTGCTCCTCTAGAAACATCAACACACCAAAGGCTACGTGCTGTGAAAAGTCTCACAAACCGAGTGGAAGGGAACGGATGATAAATGTGAAAAAAGGCAAGCGGGTCAATACAAACCACCCAGCGCTTGCGTAATCCGCGTTATCATATTTCAGACTTTAACGACATTACTGTCTTTACACAGCCCACTCTCATTTATCAATGTTATTAATTTTCGTAGGATTCGTCATCAGTGTGGTAGTTTAATTAGATAAGGCATTCTAATTTTTATCATTAATTAGACGCTCACATTTAACTAATTATTTTCTGGCTCTCAGATTGAACACTTATTTAGAATATGTAGTATATGTATATGACCTGTTCATCAGTCCAAAAAAAAAAGAAAAGAAAAGAAAAGAAAACGGGCTTTTAATTTATAGTTAATAGCCTACGCCACGCACAAATACACCTTACGTATGTGTATACGCATGTTGAGTTTACAAGATAACTAAGCATTACAAATATAATATAATGTCAGTTATGTATGAATATTTGCGTACGCGGCTCTGATAGTGGCCCAATTCGTTACGTTTAATTTAATTGCCTTATTAAGGAGGGATTAACATAAAGAGAAGTCAAATTAATGGGGTCTGGTCAATGTCCGCCACGGAATGCCGTTGTTACGGCTCATCAGGATATAGTTTTTTAAATCCAAAGTCAAAAAAAAAACGAGAATTTAATTTATAAGTAATACTATTAATATCATGTCGAACCTAGCATATCCCGAGCCCACGGGGATGAAAGTGGAAACAAAGTGTTGTTTAGTGAGGATATATGCCAAGTCAACTGCAAATGATGATTCAATTGGAATGCGCCGGCAAGAGTCCCAAAGAGGCGGCATCAACAAGGAACGCCCATTGCATGTTACCACCTGTCAGGACATTTGTAAATGTAAGTCGCTGATATCTTATTTAATGCTTTTCCTGTTCTTAACATAAAACTTATTTAACTAATTTGATTAGATTAGAAAAGTTAGGTAAGTTAGTTAATTATAAAAAATATGACACGTTTTTTCTAAAATATCATAATTATTTTTCTTAATACCCCATCTTTCTCTTCTACTTAATTATGGTTGAGGGAGTATCCATAGGGGTAATTTAGAAAAAATTGATAAATATGAAAAATAGATCTTATATTTATGACCAAAACCCAACTCAATAATTAGATCCTATATTAAAGACCAGAAGAGTACTTTTTTTTAATTTTGCATTTTTTGACAACAATTTAATATTTCTTTAATACGTGAGAAACCCTCATTACAATGATTACTAATAAGAATCACAGCGGCACTATGCAATAGGCGCAAATACGGCATTTTCCAACCACGTAACCATAAAAAGTAAGGGTCGAGAAATACATTAAAAACTAATCGGAATATTAAATGAAGGATAAACTTATATGTTCATATCAAACTTTTCTTCTTCTTTTTTTCCCCGTGCGAGAGAAGTAATAATAATATACCCGTGACATATATGGCCTCATTTGTTAGTCTCTTACAGATCGAGAAATACTTGCATACTCCCAGAGTACCAACTCATCCCAACTTTGTCCAATAAAAATGCTCCTGCACAATAATTTGAATCCAACGTGTTAGCCAACTCACTTATATTAATTTGTTGTTTTAAAAAATAAAAATACTTTTGTTTTTGAATTTCCCGTACTGCCCTCTCTCCTACGTCTCACTCCATCGCTTCATCTCTTTGGTCTCTTCGTTCCGTCACCAAACTCTCTCCCTTCCTCCCTTCATCTCCCCATTTTCTACCTTGTCTCTCCTCTCCTCTCCTCTCCTCTCTACCGAGACACAATAGAAGCTACGGCTCCTTTAGAAGAAGCCTAATCATAGTTTTTGTCTCTTTCAACTATGGTCTCTTTCGATGGAGAAGATGATGAATAGTAGCAGCGGCCTTCCAAACGCAAGTCAGATCAATCCACTCTCCTCTCCACTGGCCTATCTGCATCGCTTCCCAAACTCGTCTTCCTCTTATCACATACTTGTCCTCTGGCTCAGCTTTCCTCCTCTTTGGTTCTCGTCGCCATCTCGCGTCCTCATCGGCTCCCTTATCATCTAGGATGAGGATGATGAATTAAATGCTCAAATGATCCCTAATGCTCCCAAGCCGCCTCCAAACTAGTCGTACCTCATAGCTCCTAATTTAAAGGCGTTCAGCTCCTCCCTTCCGTCGGCGTTCTCTTTTTCTCGACGAAGGGAGGGGGGGAAGGGTTTGGAGACGCAAGCGGGAGGCAGGGGAGAGGGACTGAGAAGGGGGAAGAGGAAAGAGGGCACTAAGGGAAACTGCAAAACAAGCATTTTTTTTAAAACAAC